CTGGAAGCCAAGACGATCTTGACATCGAGGGGGTGCATACCGGTGTGCTCTAGATAGGTCTGCAATATGTCCGGAGCGTAGGTGGAGAAAGACCCTCGCACGACAAGCTTCCGAGCCCAGGACGCTGGCGAGCTGTGCAATGTATCCCTCCAAAGCACGCAGACATGGCCCAAGAGCCAAAGAGGCCCGGATACGTCTAGACTATTGCGCCGTTGTCGGAGTCCCCAATGCTCATTTGCTTCCTGCCACCAGGCATCGGAAACAGAATCGAAGATTTCGATGAGAATATCGCGGGGAGACGACGAATGGGAGCGTAGATCGCTTTGCGACTTTCGAGGGCTGTCAGGACTGCACGTTGGCGTGACCGGATTTCTTGAAGCTGCTGTTCCAAATCGACGATTTCAGCAGTGAGCAAGGTATGGTCAGAGTCGAACAATGGCCGTTGTCCGCGTAGAATGTTGGAAACGAGGCTATCGGAGGACCTCTGCATATTTTCGATGTGCGATTCGAGGGGGGAGATGTTGACGGATCCACAGTTGTGGCAGGTGAGGCGATGAAGGGGTAAAGGCAAGAGTTGCAGATGGTCTTATAGACTGTCTGCATTTAAATAATTGTTGCTGCTTGTTGATTCCCACGCTTTTATTGAATTATTGCGACAGATTTCGATTGTCTTCTATTGTCTTTCTCCCTCCATGAACTCCTTGTCCAAGCCCGAAGCGGAAAGGACCTGAACGGGGGACCACCGTCGAATCACGCCTAGTCACTGGACAGGCTCGAGGACGTCAATGGAAAAAATGGATGCGCCCGTCATTCCCAGCACTATCGCATGAGCAGTGTCTTGACCTGACGATGCCGGCCACAATCTGTTTTGGGCGTAGGCCACTGTGACTCCATCGATGCCGTACTGTGATCGTTCTTCCCCCCGGCAGATCAAGATAACGTGTACCCATTTCACCGTTCCATTGCACGGCATCTGCTCGTCAGATGTCAATATATCGGACCCTGACGTTGCAAAAGAGGTCGCCTGCGGGTCTGAAGAATTAAGGGAGTGGCGAATACGCTGTTGTGGTCCACACTCCAGCATCGCCGCGTCCATGCGTTCCGCGCTGGGATCCTAAATTATTGCGGTTTAGAATGGAAACGAATTGCCCTCGAAGCACGGAGCCAAAAATGATACTAATATAATGGTCTCTCCGATGTTATGGAACGTATACACACTGGGAAATCAAAACAGGTTAGCAGAAGGGCACTCAGCAACACAGACTAATGACTCACAGAAAGGAGACGCCATTGCCCTGACTTCAAAATAGGGTCCACAGATAAAAATGGTCCACAGATGGTAGATCCCACACCTCGAACCGCACCTCGAAGTCACTCCCACTGAGAGGTCGCATATTCTCTTCCAGGTATTGCCTATCCCTATCCCATTCCTGCCAAAACTGTATCCTGATCAATTTCAGCGATCCTGCATCACGACGGGAGCGCGTCATGCCGACTATCGTAGCGCACTCGTCCTCTGAAGGCAGTGAAATACACAGAATGAGTTGGTGTAGATTAGGTAAGACCGAGGAAGAGGTGAAAGCCTCGACGATGCCATTGATCATTCGTAAAGGAATCTCAAGTTTGAGGCAAGAGATGGTAGAACAGGCTTCCGATGTGAACATTTTACTAGGCGTGCCGGATGCGAATACTGTCCTGCTGAGGCTCAAACTCTCGAGATGGCATTTCGACCGATGGAGGAAATGGGTGATGGAGTCTTGTTGGGACCCAGAAGAGGGTGACTAAAATCGTTCTTGGGCATGATAAACGGTCAAACTGCCGAGGAGAGGTGCGGATAAGACGTTGAGAACGTCCGTGTTCGTATAAAGATGACTAAGCTGTGCCATTGTAACTACCGGCGCATCCGTTGTGACCATGGCCTCTGTCATCCCAAGGTGGCACCTTTTGAGGTTCGGCAGGTGGGAAAGAAGGTATAAATCTTCTGGACAATTGATAGAACCAGAGAAATGGGTTATCCCGGACGGTAACCTTATCTGACTGATCCCGAATCCGTGAAGACATGCATGCCATAGCTGCGGAGCACCCAATAACGCGTCGGAGCGATAATCAGAGTCAAAGTGCTCGATAAAAACATGAAGGTCAATCCTCTGTAAGGCCGGAAAGTGTGAGATAGATTCCAAGTGGCTTATATGATACTTGGCGGTGACACGCAGGTCCTTCCACCGGTGGCAAGAACGAACAAGCAGAGACATGATTGTGTCGTCCTCTATCTCTTCGGTGCAATTGACATCCAGACGGAGGAGATGCTCGCCCGTGTGCTCGAGATAGGTCTGCGATATCTCGGGAGTGTATTTGGAGAAAGGGGCCCGGAGGACAAGCTTCTGGGCCCAAGATGCTGGCGAGCTGTGCAACGTATCCCTCCAAAGCCCACAGACACGACCAAAAAGCCAAAGAGGCCCAGCAACATCTAAACTATCACGAGGTAGGTACAGTGTCCACCACGAGTCACAAACACAGTGGAAGATTTCGATAAGAATTTCGCGGGGGAGACGACGAATGGGGGCATAAATTGATTTGCGATTTTCGAGAGCTTTCAGGACAGCACATCGACGCAACCGGATCTCTTCAAGCTGGGCAGCATACAAGGATTGCAGCTGTTCCAGCTCGGCTATTTCGGCGTTGAGCAGTGCATGGTCAGAGTCGAGCAATGGCCGTTGCCCGCGTAGAATTTGTGAAACGAGGCCGTCGGAGTGTTGGTATTTTGTAGCTGTGCCTCCGGCAGGAATCCACAGTTGCGGCACGACATGACGGGAAAAGGCAAAAATGTACTCGCACGTGGTTTGCAGCTCCCTCTCTTTGCTCTCATCAGCTCTCGTCTGACTTGTTCCGTTTCCTTGGCTTTTTTTGCGTCATCCGTTGCATTGCATTTCTTCCTTCGTGACATCCTTGTCTGAGCCCATTGCCCAAGGCTAGAGAGAAATCGAACGGGAACTCGACCATGTCTATGCATTGGGCGGTGGGTTACTCTGTGTATGGTGGGCGATTCCTTGTATCCTGAATGCACTAATATTCAACATCCATCCAGATTCTCCTACTATCTTGCTGTTGCTGTCGCAGTGTTCAATCCAGCAATCGCTCATTTTCTATCTCCCATATTATCTCTCTTCTGCAATACACCACAGCGCCGACAACACACTCAATCTACAGATTTGGTCCTTCTCACGACAATTTTGGGTAGCAGCGAGAGTAATACAGCAGTCCTCGCATAATAGACCGGATTAGAACGTGGTGTGGGAGGGATCAATGCGCCGGGATAAACCGCACGAGGTCACTCTTGTATTGTTGTGCTATCAACCACGGTAAACATCCCTGACAGTTCCAGTCGACGAATTTACCACCTCAAAACTTGGACGCATTGTTGTTGGTAAAATCTCAAATGTATGATCCCAGAATAACAGTGACATTCGTATCAAATAGGTGTACAGACACTAATACACTGCCAACCAGAAGACGTAACCGGTACGAGGCCCTAACAAGCGTCAGCACAAAGGCATGAACACGCCAATAGACAAAGCTCACCCCGAACGGACAACTGCAAACCGACTCCATCTCCCAATGCGCGTAGCGCATTTACTCGCTGCAAAACCCAGTCAGTCCTCCGATGCGACCATACGAGGCAACACACTTACAGGAGAGACAAGGTGATGTCACCGTTGACCTTGGCCTGGATGGCAATCTCGACCTCGAGGTTAAGGTCAAGGCGCAACTTCAAAGCTGCGGGGGGTGCGACAGCCTGGCGCTCAGAGCGGCCGACGATCTGTCCACCGAGGGCGGAGGAGTTCTGGGTAGGTGCGTATTGAGTTTGTGGGGCAGACATTGTGATGAAGAAAACTACTCGATGAGCTGAGTCCTTTTATAATTAACTGCGCAAGCGTTGCGGGGTATTCGGCCCGGAAATGCTCGTGTAACCTATTGATTTTTCATTTGAATATACAAGGAAGTTGTAACTTTGCCTCGTTGACGGGAATTTTTCTGATGCGATAGGACTAATGAATACATTCGTGGGATCCAAGAGTCGAGCCTCTCCCTCTTCCTCCCATGATGCATGAACGTGAACACTTCCAAGTTTTTTTTATTCCTGGAAGGCGCCCCATTTCTAGACTGTTACGAGAAGGCCAGTTCCCGCTCATCGCTCCACTCCGGATCCAAATGGAGAAGAACAAGCAAGGAATCATTGCCTTGCCCGTGCGGATCGTTCCCGCAGAACTTGGCGACCCAAGAGGTACCCGGGTGTTCGAACCTCGAACGTGTTTTGCAATGACAACCCACGAAATTTAACCCGGACCTCTCTACGCAGGACTTCTCTTCTCATCCAATCATATGCGACAACGAGGCACCCGAGTTGCTAAATGCATCGCGCAATCCATAACGTTGCTCTCGTCCCGGCTCCTCTCCTCCCCTTGTCCTAATCTGGGGGGGCATACTCGTATAAAAGGATCGCCTAGCTGAGTACCGTTCTTCAGCTTCAAAATGTCTGCCCCACAAACCCAATTCGCACCTACCCAATCTTCCTCTGTCCTCGGTGGACAAATCGTCGGCCGCTCCGAGCGTGCCCCCGCACCCCCAGCATCAGTGAAGCTGCGCCTTGACCTTAACCTCGAGGTCGAGATCGCCATTCAGGCCAAGGTCAACGGTGACATCACCTTGTCTCTCCTGTAAGTTGGTTCTCATCGTCTGGTGGGTGCCCCCGGCTGACTTTATGATTTACAGCGAGTAAATGTGCTAAACGCGCATGGGAGACGGTTTGGGGATTGTGTTTGATGCGTCCTGGTGAGATTTACTCTGCTCTGTGTCACATGTTGGCAGATGCTAACGTGTATCTGCTTAGCGTCGATTATTCTTCCTTTACCTTTTGTCGATGTTGTATTAGTGTAGTGCATACTAATATCAATGTCGAGTTTTCCGTGATGCACTTAGAGTGCCCTAGCCCCGGCCATTATGGGTCGATGGCGTAGATGGTTATCGCATCTGTCTAACATTTAAGTATCCTCAGGTATCAATGTTCACAGAAGGTCCTCAGTTCGAACCTGGGTCGACTCATAGTGATGTAGTGTCTACTACTCACAATTTTGCTACGGCAGTAGTAGGGTGTACTTACTACTGTACTACTCAGTACTGGTAACTACACGGCATCCGGTACCGCGGCGGGCCCTTCGCATTTGCTTTTTGAATACTTATTCACAATTCAGCTTTCTCGGATCGGAGGTCCTTGCAGTCAGCCTCATCCCCTGGGTGTAAATCCTAAGTTTTCTTTCGACTGGGGCGTTTTGCACCAGAAAGTTGAAGGGACTAGGACCAAAATGCTCTTCTCCAAAGCCAGCTGTCGTTTGATACATAAACTGAGATGATATTGCGGTCAATTATACATCTCGGCTTAGAGCGATTCGCACGTGGTTTTAGACGGGTTCGAGTCTTCTTTTCTTTGCTTTTCACTCAACTTCTTCGCTCTTAAATTTGAAGCATCCTAGTCGGTCCTCGATATTCCGAGTCAATGCTCATCACGCCTTGAAGAGTCTACCTATTCGACGGCTATCGATCCACCTCCGAATGACGCCCACGATGGATTGTGCCATGTAGTGCCTACCTACAACGAGGTTCAAGACGGTCTCGAGGCTAGTCTCGAGGCGCGACGACGTCCGATGAATAACAGGTGTGTCTTCTTGGCCCTCGTGCCTGCGCTCGGTATGAATACGATAACAGGCGCCAACCTGCCTGCTCCAAATCTCACCTGCATTGCCTTGCGCTCTAAGAAGTTGATCAGGCCCCACGATTCGAAGGTCGTTAGTCGACGGTCTCAAACTAAGACTCTCCTGGTCTCGCCTCGCCTCCTTTCAGCGCGTCTCATAGACCTATATAATAACACTCGTACGCTAGACCTCAAATTTTCTTTCGGGCTTGCCTTCGCATCAACAAACATATCTCTCATAATGTCTTTCAAGCATGTAACCTTTTCATCTTCACCGCATGAAACTGACCTTACCGATAGGGACAAGTTCAATGCTAATCGTCCGTCAGCCTCTTTTTCCTCTCTTTGAATTCGTACTCATCGGCATTTCTACACAGCCGAGCTCGCCTTTGACCCATTTTCCAACCTACCCAAAAGCTTCGTGCCCGCCAGCGTAAAATTCAAGAAATTCCCTGGCCGTTACGTGAAATTCGACGACACGACCGGCAAGAAAAATTTCGACTGGAAGGATTTCAGAGCCGCTATCGACCGCTACCAGGCCGTCGACCTCGCCAGCTCTCTGTTCAGGAGTACCGTCATACCTCAGGCCAATGTCACGGTATCCGCGATGGCGAAGAAGATCGCCACCTTCCTCGACGATGCCCTCCAAGCAGGTGTGGGTCTACACGAGTTGGAAACGACCATCGAGGCGACGTTTACGCACTTGAAGGAGAAGAAGAGGAAAGGAGTAGCGGATTTCTGCCCGTCGACCGAGGGGAGGAGCTCATGGGAGTGCAGACTCTGGTTTGCGCTTCCCAATGAGTACCTTCGCAATTACTTTTGCTGCATGGTGACTACTATCAGGCTGGAGGCGGATATCGAGGACGAAGAGTCTTGGGTTCTTCAAAGCAGTACTACGAGGAATTTCTCTGCCGGCGTCGACTCTATGAAGGTCTACGTGTCTAAGGACTTCAAGGGTCACGGTCTTTTCATCTGACTATGGTACGTGAGATCTGATATTAATCGTTCGCTTTCACCAACGTGCTTCTGCTTTAGGTATCAACCTTTCAGCCTTGGTGTATTCGATAGGCCCTTGGTCGACTCATTCTTGCTGATGTTCATGTCGCAGTCCTTAGTTTGTCTGAAATGAAACTCCTTGCGACTCTTGTTTCGAGTGACCTTGAGTTTTTTTTTCCCACTTTGTCGAGAGACTATCATCAAGCATTTGGAGCAAGTTGATGATTCTTTTGCCCTCGGAATATGAAGAGGAATCACGATTTCAGACGATGTCCCATGTCTTGAAGCGAGGGCGGCATGTCTGTTTGTGAGTGATCCATCTGATGGTTCTGCTTGTTGTACTCAAAAGCGTCATGGCTAGATTAAGAGGACTGCTCCTTCATCGTGGAAGAAGACGTTGCTGGCCCGCTCGCCCGACACGAGTGCTGGGACTTCGTAACCGGATACTTTGATGTCTGAACACGATCCCGACTGCTCGTTCTCCCATTGGCAGAGGGAAATGAGCGGCTGATCCAGGGCATGATCGTCGTTGATTGGCTGTATTCTGGGGTGACCTGTTCAAGAAGAGTCATTGGCGTCTGTTCATATGCCAAAGATGTTCCCAATGATGAGTCGCCGACCGCGCATCATCATACGAACAGAAGTCCTGGTACTTAATTAATGGAAGGTTGCTGGAAGGAAAGGCCTACGCTTAACGAACATATCAAAGCTTCACTCAATCAAGGGTCCCGTTAGAGGCCCGCGCTTGTCCTAATGATAGGCTGAGAAGGTGATGTTCTCGTCCGTCAATGTCCATGAAGAAACTGGCTTAACTGTCTTGGATCTTTTCTAGTCTCTCTTCTACTGCCGTGACCACCATTAACAATGAGCTTCTTTCGAACCACTCATGACGCTAGCGTACTTGGCTCAAGCGATACTACTGATCGGGGTCTGTCTGGTTTGACGACGGATGCGTACTCATGACTGCTATATTCCCGTCATAAGGGCACACCGTTCTTGTTCCAACAACGGTCTTTCTCAACCTTCGGTTACGTCTAGTAAAGCTAATTTCGCACTTCGCTACCCCTCCCGCATTTACACATACTCGGATGTGCTTCGCTCGAACTAAGTCGCCGCCGCTGAGTTGAGTGGAGAGCTTAGCGGGTACAAGGAGGTAAGTCACTGCAATATTTTTGTTTTATCGAGCCTCCTGACTGCTTTATGCTCGAGTCCAAACTCTCACACATTCAAAGGGACTGCATTTCACCGTCCGTAGGGGTCTTGGCAGCATCAGGCGCCTGCTTCATCTCCGTGATTGTGATTTTATCGATACGCGCTCCAACTCATCATGCGGTGCAAGATGCTCTTAGATTAGAGCGTCAGGGAGGCACTGATAGTTACTGGTGGGACACGCACGCAAGGGTACGAGTTCAGGGTATGTCCTTTCCGCGCTTATCGGGTCCTGTGCTTATTTTCCTTCTAGCCCGGGGAGTGGCGGTGAAAGGATACTACTTCTGTATAATCAGTCGTTCAACAGATATATTATCAGGAATGTTACCGACATCAGAGAACGTCACGGCTGTGAGCTCAGATATAGGTCCTCCATGCCTACAGGCGCTTCTACGAGCCGTCCTTGAGCAAGTTGGCATATGGCTTGCCTAAGATACGGGCCCAACAAGGGGCGAATTAAATGAGAGTCCTATTGATGGTAGCTTTGCGCAGCAGTGCATCTACTGCGAATACTTCTGGAACTTTCGGCAGTATTGGAGATTCCCTTTCGCGCTCTGTTGTACCAGGAAGCTGGATTTTTTACAGTCAGTCACAGTTCACGGACAAAGGTGAGGTTTTTAGGAGGGGATTTTTGTTATCGATTGCCTATCAATGTCGTGCGTGTGTGTCCTGGTGGAAAAGATGGATTCATACACAAAAAGTATGTACCCTTCTTATTGAGTCTCTGTATAAAAGGGCCTTGTCATGCCATTGTCGAACCAACCCCACTCAATACCACATTCAATCCTCATCCATACACTAAAAAATGTCTAAACCTGCTTCTGGCACGTACAAGATTATTAACAGGGTTCTCTCTGTCGAGAATAAACGGCTTGCCATCACTGCCAACGCTGAAGGCAAACCTGCGAACGTTACCGAGGATTCCTCTTCAAACACGGCGCAACAGGTTTGTATGTCTTCCTTCATAACCGCACCTTTCTGAATGACAATTTGCAGTGGATCATTGCCGACTTCGACAACAACACCCAGAGCATGGCGCCCTGTTGCGAGACCTAACCTTCAAGCCGCCTGGGGCTCCGGAGTCATGACCGTGCTTCCAGCTGGAGGTTATGTCTGGACGATCAGGCAAACTGATACCGGAATCACGTATGGGTTGCTCTGAGTTATAAAAAAGTTTTCAAGATCTGATCATCCTTGTCTCGTATTTAGTATTCAGGATGGCGACCGAACCGCTTTCTGGGGAGTAGCCAGTGCAAGCGAGGACTCCCAAGTGAGTTCTGTGGAATAATCTGCCCCCGTTTCGAGTTAGTAATCGAGTCTGTAGGTCACTATTGGGGCTGGTACCGGCGATGTCCAGCAGAGGTGGATTTTGGTGAGGGTCGCCTAAGGAGTTGCCTTCATAACCCAAAAAATTAGCCCTCCTGTTTTGATTGCTTGTTTCTACCTCCCACGTCCACTGCTCACTCGTGCTCTTTTTCTGAATTCAACTTCAGAGCTGCTGCTTGATTCCGTGCCCGTTCGTGTTCATGTGCAATATCCTGATTTTTGTATCCATCGACTTACTACGTATCATGGGTTATGATCTTTGCTACCTGTTGCTAGAAACGGTTCATGTCGTAGTCCCTTAGTTTCACTGATAAGGTTTGGACAAAGCGTGCGATCCGCGATCTTATACCGTGGGAAAATCTGCCTTCCAGTACTTGCCACCATCTCCCTGCAACCAACATGCAGCTCAGTGACGAAGGAAAGTCCCTCAGTGGGACATTGGCGCCAGACAAGAACAATACGTCTGGATCCTACCTTTTCGCTGAATTCCCAACCCACTGCGATCCCCAGCAACGGCACCTAGCACAGAGTTATCAGCGATCGTTTGCACGCAAGCGGGGATTATGCGGTAGATCTGCACAGTCTAGCTACCCTGGCACACCATCTCCCGTCGACAGCCGGTTGTGACACTACTTTTTTTAATTGTGCAGAGTTCCACTCTTCCCACATGCGTGCGGGCGGACCGGTTTACCTGCTTAGTGGCGGAGGCGAAGCGGCAGGAGTCAGCGATCGCGTGGATATGATGCGTAGTGTACAGTTGTGCCAGCCGGTAGGCGATCTTTTCGACAATTTCTGTTTGATGTACTCAAAGGGCACGCAGATC